TACGAAGCTCATCTAATTCATTCATTAATTCTTCTTCCAAAGAATTAATGTTGTTAGCACAGTGCTGATTAAGACAAGAGTGCTGATTCAGACAAGAGTTTACAAGAGGTTAATGATGTTATCATAGCTTCACGTTATTTATTTTTTGCTTCTCTTGCTTTTGATCTATCTATTTTACTCTGTTTTGGTGACTTTAAACTTGTATAAGATCTTTGTCTGAAAATATATCTTGTTTCACGAACAAGTTTTTTTGTTTTGTTTTTGTCAATGATGGAACAAATGATTTAGTTGTTATGGATTTCATGAAATTAAGATGAAAAAAATGAGTCGTACGTGGTTTATAGTTATATGATAATATATCCTAGTAATTTGAAGATGGTCTCATGTCTCACTAGACTGATCTTTTCATAAAACTTTTTGTAAAGACGTCTTAGATCATTTTTTTTGGTGATTATTAACACGAGTTGTGTTCATGTTGGAACAGAATCATAGTTATGGAAGAAGCAGTTGTGTCTTTTTTAATTGAGAAGGTTTGGGATTTCCTTAGTCGAGAATCTGAGCATTTGCAAGGAGTTGATGAGAAAGTTGATGAACTAAGACTTGAGCTTTCAAGGTTACAATCATTGTTGAATGATGCAGATGCGAAGAAGCATGAAAGTGAAAGGGTGAAAAACTTCTTGGAAGAGGTCAAAGAAATTCTTTACGATGCTGAGGATATAATCGAAACATTTCTTATAGAACAAGAAAGGGGAAAAGAAAAAGGGATAAAGAATTGTGTGAGAAGGCTTTCTTGCTGCTTAAGGGATCGCCGGAGATTGGGTTTAGGTGTTGAAGGGATCACTAATTAAAAGAATCTCTAAGATGATTGAACGAATGAAGAGTTTTGGGATACAACAGATCATTGTTGGTACTGATCGTTCATTATCTTTCCAAGATAGACAAAGGGAGGAAAGGGAGATCCGACAGACATTTCCTAACAATCCGGAAAGCGATCTTGTAGGGATGGATCAGAGTGTTGAAGAATTGGTTAGTCATTTGGTGGATAATGATAACATTCAAGTGGTATCTATAACCGGGATGGGCGGTATAGGTAAAACAACTCTTGCTAAACATGTTTTTCATCATGACATTGTCCGACGTCATTTTGAAGGATTCACATGGTTTTGTGTTTCGAAAACATTTACACGGAAGGATGTTTGGCAAAGGATCTTGAATGATCTTACACCAAATGAGATGGAAATTTCACATATGGACGAATATACACTCCAAGGTAAACTATTTGACTTGCTGAAAACCGGTAGATATCTAGTCGTCCTTGATGATGTATGGAGAGAACAAGATTGGGATCGCATCAAATCGGTGTTTCCACGAACAAGAGGTGAGTGAGCTCTAGTGCACTTCTTGTTAAATTCTCTTGTGATTGATAAATCAGAAAGAGAGATCAAAGCACAATTGGTCATATATGCACTTCTTCTTCTATTATACACTCTTCCTATCATAAGACAATAAATATTATGTAGGTTGGAAGATGCTACTTACTTCACGCAATGAGGGTGTTGGCTTACATGCAGATGCAACATGTTTTACCTTTAGACCAAGAATCCTTACTTCCACAGAGAGTTGGACACTATGTTGGAGTGTTGCTTTTCCTAGGAGAAATGAAACTGGTAAGGTTTCAATTATATAATAACACATGATAAACTATTTTAAGGTAGTATCTTGAATCTTCATTTTACATTATGATGATATGCAGAATTTAGGGTTGATGAGGAAATTGAAGCCATGGGTAAGGAAATGGTCATGTATTGTGGAGGTCTACCATTAGCTATTAAAGTGTTGGGAGGGTTGTTAGCTAAAAAACATACTTTTCTTGAGTGGAAAAAAGTATCTGACGCAATCAAACATCATATAGTAGGACGATCAGGAAGATCTGATAACGACGATTTGGTTTCCCGAGTATTGTCTCTAAGCTATGAAGATTTACCAAGGCGCTTGAAGCATTGTTTCCTCTTCCTAGCCCTTTACCCCGAAAATTTCCATATAGCTGTGAACAAATTGTCCTATTATTGGGCAGCAGAAGGAATTCTAACGTCATTTTACGACGGAGATACAATTCTTGAGAGTGGTGAAGGCTGCCTAGAAGAGCTAGTGAGAAGAAATATGGTCATTGTGGAAAAACATTATTTGTCTTCGAGAATTTTATATTGTCAGATGCATGACATGATGAGAGAAGTATGTTTGTCTAAAGCCAAAGAAGAAAACTTCGTACAAATCATCAAAGTCCCAAGATCAACAACATCCCTCGTCAATGTGCAATCTTGTAGCACATCTCGCAGACTCGCTGTACATTGTGGAAATGTATTTGATATATTGGAGAGAAATAACAAAAAAAAAGTGAGATCTCTTCTATTTTTCGGAGTCGATAGAGACGTTTGGAGGCAGACAAGTTTACCACTTCTTAGGGTGTTGGATCTTTACAAAGTACAATTTGAAGGAGGGAAATTACCTTCAAGCATTGGAGAGCTTGTTCACTTGAGATTCTTGAGTTTATTAGAGGCGGTGGTATCTCTTCTACCTACTTCTCTACGGAAACTAAAGCTTTTGCTCTATTTGAACTTAACTGTTAATGGAAAATCAATTCATGTGCCTAATGTTTTGAAAGAGATGCTGGAGTTGAGGTACCTCCAACTACCTGGTACAATGCATGATCAAACACTTTTGGAATTGGGTAATCTAGTGAACCTAGAGACATTGTGTTTTTTCTCGACAAAGCATACTAGTGTGACTGATCTCATCCATATGACTAGGCTTAGGATTCTCAGTGTATGTATCCGTGGGGAGTGTAGTTTTGAAACTTTATCTTCATCTCTCTGTGAAATGAGAGATCTCAAGAAGCTTACCTTAGTTGATTCGCGTGGTGAAGATCGTGTGGCTTATCATGGAGGAGAATTTGTTATGAATATTATGCATCTAAATTATTTGGGATTGTCGATACATATGCCATGGATTTCTGATCTACAAGGGTTCCCTCCTCACATTGCAAACGTAATGCTAAATTATTTGAAATATCACATTCCAAATGTTCAATTTATCGACTGTGAAGACTAATCGAAACGAAGCAGGTCAAATAATTTGTTATTATGTTCACTCTAGTCATTTGTTGGTTTTGCATCCTTGGTGTGAAAGTCATATTAACAATCTCAATTTACGATATATTGTTCTAACTTTGTTTTGGCTTGTAGGAATATGTTCAGAAATCTTGGTAGCATCTAATGTGGTAAGCTCTTCATGTTGTATAATAAAAGTTTCGTATCTTATCAACGAAATGCATTGATATGTCGCATATATTTCTCTTTTAACACTAAGCTTGTAAGGATTGAATGATATTTCGTATTTGAACCAAATTTTATTCGATTGCTCATTCTCGCCAGATGGTGATACTAAATTTGACCCAATCTCTTGTGACTTGGAATCAGTTTACTACCTTAGGATCCAGACATATTAAGTGGATTAGCTTTGATCGTTTCCATTAAGTCTTTTATGTGAATTTGAATCTCTTCTATAGAATTCACGAACTTATAGTGTTACTTATGTTATAAGTATCAACACATGTAGTCAAAAGTGAAAACACAAAAAAAATGAAAATGGGTTGATTTTTTTTTTTTTAAGTTTGATTACTTGATGAGAGTATTAATATATTTTTATTTTTGTTTCTTTTTGTAATTTTAACGCATTTAGAATTAGTTTGATTGTTTCAGCCTCATTTAGAAATAGTTCGTTATGATGTATAATAATTACTTATGATGTTAAAAAATATAAAATATTATATTAAACATGTTGATATTTTTAAAAAAAGTTTCGATATGTTGATTTTTTAACTAATTTATTTATTTACTTTTAATATCAATAAGATAGAGTAATAATTGCTGACAAAACAAAATATCAATAAGGTAGAACTTGATATGATGCACATATAATTTTTTATATAAAAAAAAATTTGATCTCTCATCTATGTTGGCTTAAAATTAGTTTTATGATCATACCAAAAAAAATAAAAAAATAGTTTTATGATGATAAAAATATATCTTACGTTGCTTATGGATCAAGCATTGTTCCATGAGGATCAAAAAAGAAACTATAAAAGCTAGAGATTGAAGAGACAACAAGAAAATTAATCTGCCATCTTGTTCAAAAACTCCTCTCTGGATTCCATAGGGATATGGGAGAGACCAAAGCATGTGAAAAGCCAACTCCAACAGTTTTTATGATGTTTTCCTTCAACATGATCTTCTTCTTCATCAGCTGTCTTGTCTGATATCGTATCACATGGTAGTTCAAACTCGTAGCTCCAGTCATCTTTGTCTTCAGAAACTTGGTCTAGTATAAAACTATTGCTTCCATTGCTGCTTCTTCCCTCCACTTCTTTGGTAATGATTCTTACGCCACATTCTATAATCTCGCAGTAGCGGCTGCTAAATTCAAACAATACCGTGCTTCCCACGTCAAGTAATACCTCTTCTTCGGGAAAGTCACAATGAAATATACAAAGATGATCTGTTCGGATTCCGGGAGATTCGCGAGGGTGTACTATGAAAATAGGATATCTATATCCGCTTTTGCCGACGATTCCATACTTCAAACGAAGTTCTCTGTTTTCTTTTATATGATGGTTATGGTTGGGAGAAATCATGACGCAAACCTTAAACTTGGAGGATGTTGAAAATGAGCAATCTTTCTCGTGCCGAATGGTCAAGGAGTTACCTCGAGCGCGGTGATGGAACTCTGAAGGCACTTCTCTCCCTGGTAAGCAAGCAAACTCGTAAAGAAATAAACTTTGGATAATTACTTTTCTTGATTCTCCACCAAGTTTAAAGCAGTTGGTGAAATTGAGTTTTGCATTTGGAGTAGTTAGAGGGGAAGTTACGTTCTCCAGTCCTTCACAATCTTCTGCCATTAAAAGTCTTAGCGAACAAGGAAGCTCTGGCATTGACGCGAGTTTTCTACAACCAGTTACTTCAAGGCTTTGGAGGTGATGAATATATTTGACGCAATCTGGAATCTTCTCAATATCAGTGTAGCTTAGGTCTAGAGACCATAGGCTCTCCGGGAAATGTGTTAAGGTCTTCAGTTTTCCACTGCCTCTTATATCAACATACGAAAGACGAGACCATAGCTTTATCGATGGAGGCACATTTTCTACCCCTGTTTCCGACATAAGGAGTTGGCTTATGTTTGTAGAAATATTTGGAAAAACTCTTAATCGCGAGCATCCAATCATGTAGATCCTCTCAAGAGATGCCAAGTTGATGTTAGTTGGAACAACTTCTAGATTTACGCAAGAATTCATCACCAAGTCTTCTAGCTTATGAAGATTTGCAATTGAAGATGGAAGCTCTACTAAACTTGTGCAACCATTTAGTTGTAATCTTTTCAAGTTTATAGCATTTGAAAGATCGGGGAGTTCTTTCAAATATCGGGACGATGAAAAATCCATCTTTTTGAGGTTTGTAAGCGGCTGAATGCAAAATCATACAACAAAGGAGGAACATCAGAAAATAATGAGATACTAACTTTTCATAGTAGTAGAGATAGAAAAAAACTATTATAACTAACCTGAGTTCCTTCCCAAAGCTTCTCAAGCTGGCTATCCCGCATGTAAAGTTCAACAAGATTTGCCAAGCAGAATCTAAGAGGAAGACTCTTTTTCGGGTATGCCTCCCAATGTAGTAACCTTAACCGAGGTGGAAACTCTATCTCCCCAGGTATGTGGACTCTTTCATTCCCATCATATCTTGTTTTGTAGACACTAAGAAATCGAAGATTACTCATTCTTCTAAGAGCTCTATCACTTATGATAACTTCGTTGATTCCTGATGTATCAAATGATATACCGGACAAAGCTCTATTACCCTATATAAGACAATCAAATATAAAGAAATTATTAGTAAAACAGGTTATATCTATATATATTGTTTTCACTAAGTTACTTTTAAAAAAGCAATGCTTAAAGGGAGAAAAGGAGAGAAACACAAATTAGGAAACATACCGTATCATTTTCAAGGACATCACATATCTCATGTGCATCGATTAAGATTTGACGTTTCCAAGGCTCTTGTCTATGAATGACTTGTCTACCCACTTGTTGTAGTAACTTATGCATCACTACTTCCCTTTTGGTAGATATGTATATGAGCGATCTATTTACTAGGATTCTCAACCCATGTTTGATATCCAAGTTATTTTCAGCAAGCATTGCATTAACACTATCAACATCTTTATGGTTAAAAAATACTGCAATGTGAAGAAATAGAGATTTCTCATTGTCATGTAAACTCTCATATCCCACTCTTAGTATGTCTTCAATATCTCGATGATCTAGAAATATTTCTAGCCTGCGCATCACTTCTTCCCATTCATCTTCCTTCTTTCCACGTAATGATGAACCCACCACACTTAGACCCAAGGGAAGGTTACCACAAAGCTTTGTTAGTCTTACCGCGAGCTCTTTAAATCCACGACGTGGAAAACTTTGTCGAAAAGCATATTTACATAAGATCTTAAGAGATGTTTCTTTTGATGGGAAACCCACTTGGTATGTATTATTGATACCATGTTGCTGCAAAAGCTCTTGATCTTCTGTGGTTACAATAATTCTGCTTCCAGGACCAAACCAGGTAGTTTCATTAGCCAAAGCCTCTAATTGCTTTAGATCATTCACATCATCAAGAATGATAAGCACTTTCTGATCGCTTAGCCTTTCATGTATTGCACCTAAATGGTATACCCTCATACCATTTTGGTTTAAAATCTTTGAAAGAAGTTGTTGTTGTAGAAAAAGCTTTAATCCATACTCGTCAAGACCACTATTATAACTCTCCTTAAGATTCTCCATAAAACAACTAAGCCGGAAACTACTAGAGAGTAGGCTATGTAAAGCTCTAGCAATAGTAGTCTTACCAATGCCGGCAGGGCCACAGATTCCAACAATCATAGCTTCATCTTCATGATCTAAATGTAATAGAAACTGCATTTTCTTCAAGTGTGCTTCAAGTCCCTCCATATCTTGAAAATCCTTAGATGGTGTAGCGTTTAGTTTGCGCGAAACATCTCCTGCAACCTTCTCGATCATGTTTGCTTCATTGTCCCTAATGGAGGGTAGAGTTCCAAAAATCGATGACTTCAAAGGTTTATTTGCTCAAAAAACCTTTATAAAAGGCAAAACAAGTATATACATAGTCGCTACACATCAAAATAGTCCGGAGAAACAACATGTATTTTTCAAATTCATCACTTCAAGGAAAATATATCTATCCTTTACTAGAATTTAACTCATATATAACACAAGTCAACTTTTTATTTATACACATATATATATATATATATATATATATATATATTTTCTAGTTTTCCACTTTAGTATTAAATTTATATAATATAATTTTTATTGGTTTCTAGATTTAACTAATGTCTCAAATTATTTTATTGAAAATAATGATACTGCCCGCGTAATGAAGCGGGTTGAAAATTAAATATATCAATAAAATTTTGATATTTAACTGATAAACCATACTAAAACAATTTAATTATTTATCTCATCATGATAAACCATATTTTAATTTTTTTTACACACTTTTCTAATAGATTAAAGCTAAAAATTTTATATCAAACACAATATATACAACATTTTTCAAATCTATAATAAAAAAATAATAATAAAAAAAACAAAAACTCATATTAATTAAAGACTAACCAGTTTAATAAATGTTCTCCGAGTATGTTGCTCACATCAGTCAAAGCTTTCTCCCATTTCAGCTTCTCCACATCAGTACTACGTGAACATGTTTCAGTGAAAGCTTTCCCAAAATCTCCGATTTGTTTTCGTACATGGGTTGGATCAACTCCATAAAATATTGTCATCACTATTTGCCCCATAACTTTCTTGCACTCCATAATCTCCACCAACTCATTCAAACACCAACTTGAAGAAGCATAGTTCTTTGAGAGAATCACAATCAAGATCCTCGATTCTCTTATCGCTTGTACGAGTGAAGGCGCGATCGTTTCGCTTCTCTCGATACCTTGATCATCAAACATTGTGATCCCATTGTAGCTAAACTGTTTGCGCAAGTGACTTAGAAATGATTTACGTACGTCGGGGCCGTGGAAGCTCGAGAAAGTGTTGAATCTGTAAGTACGAGACTTAATAAGAGAAGAAAGAGAAGCCATGAGAGGGTTGCAAAAATGGTAGAAACTAAAATCAGATATTTCTAGTTAATATGGTTTTGGATTGTTATATAAAAAGATTATACCGTGTCTTGAGGTTAACGCGTTATGATTGACTTATGCGAGAGGAAACTTCGAGGTAAGAAAGATTGAGATCTTTTTATTTTTTTTGAAACATAACCATCACATATGTATAAAGAAAAATAATAATAATGCACACGAGACCTAAGACAATGGATGTTCAAGAAAGCGTTAGGCGGTATCTAGGCGGTCACCCAACGCCTAGCGAAGAAAACGCTTAGTCGAGGCCTAGGCGATTCTAGGCGGTTTAGGAGTTTATAACATAAAGCATTATATATATTGATCATATTGATAAAAGTAATATAAACCTATATGTTAGAGAAATAAAAATAACAAAATATAAACAAATATGAGAAAAAACATTTTTTTTTAATTTCTATCAACAACATATATATGAACATTTATAATTATATATATAGATGTAAAAATTAAAATTTCAAATATATTTAGTTAAAAATTATAAAAATATAACCGCATTTTAGAACATTGATTCTTTTTTTTTGGTAAATTAGAACATTGATTCTTAATCTCTAAGGATTTGTACTTTACTAGAAAAAAAAAGAAGAAATAAAAAGAGAGAGTGTAATAAGACTGGACTATATATTAAAGTCTTCTATGCTTATTGAAAACTAACTACAAACCAGTTTTTTTGACATCATAGTACGGTTGTGGCTTAGCGGAGAGTGTCTATTAAATCAGTGGCTATTTTTCTCCAAAATTGGCATTTTACTTGTGGATTTTGGATCTCAAGCCATTTCTTCAAAGTGAAACTCAGAATTTGTGTCTTGGAGTCTTATAACATGTTGAATTTTCGCAACTTTTTTGAGTTATGGCTCTTCATCTTGTACAACATTACAAGTAGGGTTATTCTTCTCTGTTTTCATCTTCAACATTACAACAGATAGTTCTTCAAACCCTTTTGTCGAGATTTTTAAATTCGCAGTTTTTCGATTGCCTTCACAACATTACAACAGATAGTTCTTATATCTTGGATGTCTCCTTTATGGTATTGCAAATTGTTCTTAATGTTGTTTTTAATATGTGTTAACCAAAACATTTGTTTGAGAAGAACCCTGACAAAGTGCTTTTAAAGACTATCACAGCTCAGCTACAGACACTTCTTGGGATATCTTCGATTGAGATTCTGTCTACTCATTTGAGCGATGAAGTGTATTTGGGACAGAGAGATTCTAAAGAATGGGCAGCTGAGAAAGATGCGTTTGAGAAGTTTGGTGAGAAAGTGAAAGAGATTGAGAAGAACATTGATGAGAGGAACGATGATAAGAGTCTCAAGAACAGAACAGGTCTGGTTAAGATGCCTTACACTTTATTGTTTCCGACCAGTGAAGGTGGAGTTACTGGTAGAGGGATACCAAACAGTGTCTCCATATAAAACAGATCTCATCACAGTCATGTTGTGTTATACCTTTGTTTACTTGTTCTACACGTTTAATCGTTTATTCTTGTTATTAATTGGTGTGACCTATATATATATATATTAATTAATATTGTGTTCATCTCATATCCAAAGTCCAAACCAAAAAGTCTATTAATAGAAATGAAGTTGTGCCATTGTGGTATAATTAAAAGGTTTTATGCGTAATTAAAGAAAACTAATGCTAGTGATTAGTGAACGGTTTGTACAAACCGAAGTAATTCAATTGGGATTTTGCAGAATATGACAGGTTTGATTAGAGAAAGGAAGAAGTCCAAATTTGTACAAACCGACGTAATCAAAATTCACATTTTTTGTCCGGTTTATACAAACCAGGTACAAGAAGGATACTGTAATTCATAAACCAAATATCTAAAAACCGAATAAACCGAACCGAATTCAAACCAAACCTGGATTAACTAACACCCCTTGTTCAATTATAAGGTTAACAACACATGTTAACGTCGTCTGAGTTTGTTCAAACCAGAGCCGCCGTCTAACACTTCCTCTTCGCCGCCGTATAACTCTTCCTCTTCGCCGCCGTATAACTCTTCCTCTTCGTCGTCGTTAGTTTCTACACAAAGAATTGTCCAATGAAACCAAGGTTAGTTTCTTTGTATGTTTTAGGGTTTGTTTCGTGGCTAATAAGCTTCAAAACTCAAAAACCAACCTATATATTTACATTGTTGTTTCATTTATCTTTGAACAGCAAGACAAAGGATTCTTCAATGAAACGAAGGTTAGTATCTTTGTATGTTTTAGGGTTTGTTTCTTAGCAAACAAGTTTTAGAATTCAGAAACCAACTCATATATGTTGTTGTTAAATTTTTGGGTTTGATCAGGAAGAAGAGTAGGAAAAGTTCTAATAATGTGGACAGGATTAGCGAGTTGCCTGAAGCTTTGATTCAGAAGATACTATGCTTACTTCCTACAAAAGCTGCCATAGCCACAAGTGTTTTGTCTAAACAATGGCGGTCTCATTGGAAACTGATGCCTGAACTCAAGTTTGATGCTTTAGATCATGAGCTTGACATCGAGAGTATTAACAAGTCTTTGTTTGCACATAAGGCTCTTGTTCTACAGAGATTGCATCTCAAACTTCGTTTAACTGGACGTAGTGAACTTACAGTGGATTTTGGAATCTTGATTGGAATTGCATTAACCCGCAATGTTCGTGAGTTGGTACTCAAAGTTCACTCAAGCAGAGGTTTGTTTAAGTTTCCAAAAATCTTGTATGACTGTGAAAAACTAGAGACTTTGAAACTCATGCTCCGGCTTGTTCTGGATGTCCCTTCTACGGTTTCTCTGAGGTCTCTTAGAACACTACACCTTGAAGGTGTGGACTTCAAAGACGAGGATTCTGTTCTTAACCTTTTATCTGGCTGTCCTAAGCTTCAAGATTTGGTAGTATGTAGAGAAGCAAGTAGGAATGTGAGTACTTTCAGAATTGTAGTGCCATCTTTACAAAGACTAACAATTCATAATGGCGATGGTGGGAGTTATCATCAATGTTGCTTTGTGATAAATACTCCTTCTTTGAAATTCTTAAAGATTGAAGGGACTAATACATTTGAGTCTTCTCTGATTGTGAACTTACCGGAGCTGATGGAGGTAAACATTACTAATGTTGATGAGATAAGTGACGAGAAGCTTCTTATGGTTCTCTCTTCCGTTAAACGCCTTTCGATGGCCTTATCACCCTTGAAGTTTAAGTTTCCTATCGGTATCATCTTCGAGCATTTGGTATATTTGGAGCTATACACATATAAAAAAGCATGGTGGGATCTACTTCCCCTCTTGCTCCATAGTTCTCCTAAATTGCAAGTCCTCAAGCTCATAGATGTAAGCAATACACATATCGATCGAATAATTACATACATTGTGTTTTTTTCTGAAAGTTTATTTGGTTGTATCAGGACATAGGTTGGAAGCACAATGATGGAGGTATTGGAGAATGGAATCAACCAGAGAATGTTCCTGAATGTTTGTTGTCTCATCTTGAAACATTCATGTGGAAAGGCTACAAATGGAAACAAGAAAGAGAGAGAGAAGTGGCCAAATACATTCTAAAGCACACAGATCATTTGAAGAGAGTTATTTTCTCCTCAAAAGACATTAGTTATCGAGATAGGCTTAAGGTGGTGAATGATTTGAAAAGTGTTGTTAGGGATACAAATTCATGCAAGTTTCAATACATATGAAACATATATTATCAGGAGGGTCATGTTTTGTCTTGATAAGTAACGTTTACTATATATCCTTATTACTTCAGCCGGTTTCTTGGGATTTCTATATGTTTTTAAAGATTCGTATCTGTTAAGAGAAACAAACCAAAGAACTCATGTTCTGATACTTTGAATGGTTTAACTGTGAAGTGTTTGAGTTTTATATCATTGTCAAAACCATAAATAATTAATCTCATTTAATCAAAACTTCATCTTATTCAGTATCAATTTGATTTTACATGTGATACATATAGACATGAATCTATTTTCTCTTTAAAAAAGTAGATGGAACTGTTAACATTTAAAGTCCAATTCCTAACCAAACTTAATACTAAAAATAGTACTCTGGGAAGAAGGTTTGGCTTGACACTAAACTGAAGAGCCTGAAGTCTTTTTTAATAATTAAATTGTATTCCAAGGTTAAAATTTAAATCATCCATTTGTTTGCTTTTAATTACTAGTTAGTAAAACCATACTTGCGTTATTGAACCTATATAGAGACTCTTATAGTAACATAAAACACAAGTCTTAAACTAACATCACAAGTGCCTCTTGGTCAACACAGACAAGGATCCTATCTTAGAGCAAAACTTGAACCTGTATAGAGACTCTTTGGAACCACCTCAAGTATAAAAGATTCATGTGCCTCTCGAACATTGAGGATTCCTAAAGAGATCAACACAAGTTGGCCGAAGAGTGTTGCATATGTGCTTCCCGGCTTATGTTAGTCTTCTTTATCCCACCTTGTAACTTAATCATCTGTGGATTAGCAATGAACTTTGGGTCACCCTCGACCTAGGTGAATGGAACAGCCACATATGAGTCTGTATGTGCCAATACGCCCTAACACAAACAATGACACATATGCAATTAAAATAAGAAACCAAATAGACCTTTAAAGTATTGAAAATGAACACAAGTTTCTGTGATTTGGTTCGTACATGTTTCATCAAGACAAGGAATGCTTGAAGACATTCTTTATAAAAGAACTAGTTGTTGACCCGCGCTGCGCGCACGAGGTTTATAAAATTTTTATTTTATTTTTTAGTTATATTATGATTTTTCGTTGTTTTGCATTGTTTGTTTTGTTGGCTTTTTATTATTGTCATTTTTTGTTATTCTATTTTTCATATCGATTGTTTTTTCAATTTTATAGTAATTGAAAAATTGAAATGTTTATCTTTATTTGGTATTCGTCAAAGGTCGAGGAAAAGTTTATGCGGTATTTTCTCTTTTTGCTAAATATGTGATTAGAGAGTTAAAGTTTCCGGTGTTTGGGTTTAATATATTCTATGAGAGATATTCTAGGATCTGGCTTGTTTTCGATTTTTTCCTACGCTCAGACCCGTTTATTCCGGCCAATGATTTTGAAATCGGTATCGTTGTTGCAGATGTGTCGTTCTTGTAAACGATGGTTCTAGAAGATGTTTTCCCTGTTCCGGTTTATCATCCAGTTCCAAACTTGTGTATACGTTTTTCTGATTTTTTAACCGGTTTGATTGTTATGTTGGACCTCGTGCCCATGCTCTTTCAGGTTTAGTATTTTGATTGTTGTGTAAGTGTTGTACCTCAAGCCCATGTTCTTTTGGATTTAGTAAAAAGAAAAATGATGATGTGGCGCTAACGTGGCGGAAAGGAGAAGAGAGAAAAGGTAACTATATAGATAACAATAAGTTATATCTCAGATTTGTGTTGTGCCTATTGTTCTATTTTTAAGATTACTAACCAACAAAACCATGAAAATACTGACAAATATACCGGAAATAAGAAGTGAGATTTTAGATGTAATTAAATAACCTGAAATTGATTGACTGATTCCCAAGCGTGGCACCAAGAAGAAATTTCTTTAGAAAAAGGTGAATTAACCTTATTGCTTCTGTAAACCTTATTGGTTCTGTAAATATAGCGATAAGATTAGTCAACAACTGAGCGATAAAAGTTGCTACGAAACTCCTCCAAACTCTATAGTTGTAGGAAAATTCATAAGAATTAAAAGGAAATTGAAAAGAACAGACATGATAGAAATTTGGTAGGAAATGTTTCCTTCTATTTTCGTTTGAATACAGATCCATAGTCCTGGGCAATCGGGTACCCAATCCGGTTTCGGTTCTACCCAATCGGGTTTCGGGTAAATCGGTATTAGCCATATAGATACCAGTCGGTATTTTACAATAAATTCGGTTCGGTTTGGTGAGTAACTGACCGGGTTCGGGTCGGTTTTCTACTCCAATTCAAAATCCAACAATGTACCAAAAAAATATTCGGGTTATGATCGGTTCGGTTATTTTTAGTAACCAAAGTATTCAAACCCGATATAACCGATTCAAACCTGATATAACCGATTAAAAATAGAAATAACCAACTAATTAACCAAAAATGACCGATTAAATAACCAAAACAAGAACTTAATAACCGATAAGTAGCATAACTTTAACCAAAACAAAAACTTAAGAACTTAAATTTAACCATAAGTTTAACATAGTTTAACAACTCATGAAAACATATATTTGTTTGTTAGAGGATCGGATATAATTGGGGACCCATATTAACTTAAGGTAAAATCCGAACCGGACCGAAGTCCATTTTACCCTGCTATTGAAGCCCATTCGGTAATTCCAACGGAACCGTATCCGAACCGATACCGCTTTAACCGGCTGCCAACCGGTGTGGTTCATCGGTACCGGGTTTTTTGCTCAGGCCTACAGATCCATCACCTGGTAAAAAAATATTTCCTTCCGAATATTTTGTAAGAAAATTAGTAGGATTTTGCTATGTTTTCTTGTAGTATACATAAATTATAATTACTTTTATAAATATTATAAATATTAAAATAATATTTTTTAAATGATAATTTTTTTTTATGAATAATTATATGTAATTCAATCTAAAGTTTTTTAAAAACCGCGCAACTATAACTTATATCTTTTTGAAAAAAATTATTTTAAATTGTAGTGCTATAATTCATACTAATGATTTCATCTTTATTCAATAAAACGATTTTTGTTTTAATTTTTGTTTTTATGTTTCAATTTATTGTTAGTACTAGGTTTCATTCTAATTTTTATTGTAACTAAAATTAACTTTCATGAAAATATGATTTTTAAGAAAAATCTGAAGGACCAAATGTTTTTAACCACGTTTTTATTTGTTTTCAAAAAATACTTAGCCCTCATTAAGATTTTAACGATATTTATCTAATAATTTATTAGATTACAAAAATTAATTATAATGATACATATATTATAATAAATTACAAAGAATTATTTTAATAAGAAAGAGGTAAGAAAATATGATGTGGAAAATGTGTTAATAGAAAATATTTAATTAGAAATTTTATAATAAAAAAAAAGAAAAATGCATATATATGTAAGAAACTAGAGAATTTGTTAGAAATACCTCCCTGCTGCTACTTCTGGTTTTTTTACTTCCACAGAGGTACCTAAAACATCTACTATCATTAATCAGCAGCGGGTTATATGTAACCAAACAACTTCTTTTGGGGCTACTAATGTTTCTTGTCCAAATCGTACTCAGGTAATCTACTACTTTAGAAAAACTTTTTTAAAAAAAATATTGCTTCCAAATCATTATTAACTTATTACGTGTTTACTTTTTAGGATCAAACTAGCTCATATCAGTTTGTTGCAAGCGATGTATGTTCTGCTTCTCATACTCAGGTAAACCTCTTTTAAATATATTGTTTAAAACTTTTGAAAACCTTAGAAAAATCATTTAAAACCCTTTTAAAACGTTATAAACAAGACAAGTTGTTTGTAAACAACATGGTTCTTATAAAGTCCTTATAAAACCCTTTTAAAATTCTATTAAAAATCGTATAAAAGGCTTTTAAAAGCTTTTGTAATTTTAATGCATAGATTTATTAGGATACTGAATTTGTAGTTTCATGTTCCGACAATGCCTAATCCTTTTGCTGCTACTTCTGGTCTTTTTACTTCCGCTGAGGAACCTAGAACGTCTACTATCATTAATCAGCAGCCGGTGATACGTAACCAAACAACTTCTTTTTGGGCTACTGATGTTTCTTTTCCAAATCATACTCAGGTAATCTACTACTTTAGATAAGGTAACCTTATAATGTTTATAAGTTAGTTTGAAAACAACTTGGTTCTTGTAAAGTCCTTATAACAATCTTTTAAAATCCTTATAAAAAGCTTTTAAAACCCTTTTAAAAATCTATTAAAAATCGTATAAAATGCTTTTAAAAGCTTTTGTAATTTTAATGCATAGATTTAATAGGATACTGAATTTGTACTTTCAGGTTCCGACAATACCTAATCCTCCTGCTCTACTTGATGTTGATTCTTTGTTTTGCGGAGATTTATTCATAAGCAAAAAAGAAATGACTACTCAGCTGCAGATGTATGTGCTGAAAAACAGCTTTGAGTTTCAGTAAGAAGTCGGACAACAAGAGATATGTTCTGAATTGCATAGGTGAAAATTGCAATTGGAAGTTACGTGCTATTAGAGTTAAAGGATCAGATGGTTTTATCATTCGAAAATATATCAGTCTGCATAGTTGTGACTCTACATTAAGGAATGTAAATCATCGTCAAGCAAATGCAAAGACATTGGGTGGAATGGTTAGAAACCATTTTGAAGGAGGAAAGCTTCCACTCAGACCCAAGCAACTAATAGAAATCTTTAGAAAGGATCATGGAGTTGGGGTGTCGTACTCAAAAGCATGGAGAGCTCAAGAACATGCAACAGAAGCTGCTAGGGGTTTATCTTCTGATTCTTTTGAGGTTCTTCCTAAGTGGTTCCACATAGTACTCAAAAGCATGTTTTTTACAAGTGTTTTATATGGTTTTTATACAAAACTTTTCATATTCAAGAAATACTTACCTTATCATTTTTATCCTGTGTATGCTCCTCAGGGAAGTCATTTCCTTCCTTTCTCAAATCAGGTTGATCATCATTCATTTCTTTAGGAACCTATAACATTATAATGGATTTTC